GGAGGAGGAGGAGGAGGAGGAGGAGGAGGAGGAGGAGGTTTCACAGCGCGAAGGGGTCTGGGCTTCCCTCCCCCCTCCGCCAGCCCGACTCTTCGGGAGGCGGCAGGGGGCCAAAGGCGCGCGCAGCCGTGCCTGCCCAGAGCCGCGGGAATTCTCGGCGCCGCAAGGCGGCGCACCGCGCGGCGGGCCGCGAGCCGCGTGCGCGGCGGCGGCGGGCCAGGGAGGAGGAGGGGAGGGGGATGATGATAATGATGCTGCTGCTGCTGATGATGATGATGAGGATGAGGAGGGCGAGGAGCAGGAGGAGGAGGAGGAGGAGGAGGAAGAGGCGGAGGAGGAGGAAGAGGCGGAGGAAGAAGAGGAGGAGGAGGCGGCGGAGGAGGAGGACGAGGAGGAGGGATGAGACGAAGGAGGAGGAGGAGGACGAAGGAGGAGGGAGGAGGAGGACGAGGAGGAGGAGGAGGATGAGGAGGAGGAGGAGTGGGGACCGAGGAGGACGAGGAGGAGGAGGAGGAGGAGGAGGAGGAGGCCGCAAGCCGCGTGCGCGCGGCAGGCCGCCGCGAGCGGGCGGGCACCGGCGGCCGGCCTGAGGCCGCCCCGAGGGTCAGCGGGGGTAGCCCGCGGAGGGGCCCGCGAAGACGCTGGAGACCTCGTGCGGCACGGGGGCGCGGGGGCCCGCCGCGCGCGCCAGCGCCTCCGGGGCATCGCTTGCGACCGAGGAGGAGGAGGAGGAGGAGGGGGGGAGGAGGGAGGAGGAGGAGGAGGAGGAGGAGGAGGAGGAGGAGGAGGAGGAGGACGAGGAGGAGGAGGAGGAGGAGGAGGAGGACGAGGAGGAGGAGGAGGAAGAGGAGGAAGAGGAGGAGGAGGTCGCTTGCGACCGACCCCCTGTCCTGGCCATCGCTCGGACGTCCATTTCCCCGTGCTTTTTTTTCGGCCTCGTGCGCGGCTTTTTCTCGCCAAGTGATCCAGGATGCGCCTCGAGGGTCCTCGCCGAAGGAAAAATAAATGGACACGTTTGGGCGATGCCAAGCTCCTGTCCCCACTGGCGTGGCCTCTTGGCCCCGCTGGTCGAACTGCCCACCCACGGCAGGGTCGTGCCGCGACGAGTTGGCGTTGGCGTTGGCTTCTGACGCCGCGTGGATCGTTCCACCTTGAACGATCGGCGCCCTTGCGCTCGCCAGATCGTTCCACTGGCAGACTCTGGGCCACTGGCGGCGGTCAACCTTGAACGCCCGCGCTGGGGTCGCCGCCGCGTCGACACGACGCGAACCTGCCGCAGGGGGGGGACATGTGATCCAGGGCTGCAGCCCCCCCCACCCCCCTCATGCTGATGCCTTCGGGCCCCCCCCCACTGTGGGCGTGGCGTGGTGGGGAGTGCCGGTGCTCTCCTCCTCCCCCTGCGGGGTGTGGGGTGGTGCTGCGGTGCCGTTGTCGTCGTCGTCGTCGCCGCCGCCGCCGCCGCCGCCGTCGTCGTCGTCGTCGTCGTCGTCATCGGCGGCGGCGGCGGCGGCAGCGTTGGCGTCGGCGTCGGCGTCGGCGTGGTCGTGGTCTTGGTCGTGGTCGTGGTCGTGGTCGTGGTGTGGTCGTGGTCGTGGTCGTGGTCGTGGTCGTGGTGGTGGTGGTGGTCGTCGTCGTCGTCTCACCCCCTTCCCATCTGGGGGGGGCCCGTGGGGCCTTGGGACCCATCCCATCTGGGGGGGGGCCTGTGAACCCTCGACCCGGGATCATATTTGCCTGTTCCTTCGGGCTTCGCGGGGCCAGTCCCCACCTTGGAGTGGGGATGGGGGTAGGTTAGATCAGCTACGCGCAAGATTGACCCTAGGCAAGAGCGACCTTCGGTGAGCGGCTTCACGGGTGACGTGGGGTGGCCAAACCTGGGCGCGCAGGCCGTCGTTACTGCTTCGCGCTCAGCGATCGGGGGACTCCGTTGGGCCCGCACCGGAGGTACCTCCAGCGCAAGGGTACCCTGACGTCGATAGATAAGCGCGTTCCACTACTCGCAAATGGCCTGGATCCGCTGCGGGGGATTTACGATGTATAAACTACATCGAAGCAAACATCTGTTTTCCGGCAGTTTGCGAGTAGTGCAACGCGCTCGGTGAGCCTAGAGGATTAGACGATGCTGAGCCTCCTGCCCAGCGCGGGTGCCGTAAAGCCCAGCGGACTGCAGCGCGGCGGACAGCTTGTAGCGCGCGTCGGCCATCAACCGCCCCTCGTCGAAGCCAGCGTGGGGCCCGCGGCCCGCCGTGGCGCAGGCCACGGGCCCCGCGTACGCCGCGGCCTTGGAGTGCTCCGGCACCTCGCGGGGGGGCGGCCTTCCCCCCTCCCCGAGGCCGCGAGGGTGACCTCCGAGGCGGGACCCAGCGCCGGCTTCGAGACGGCCCAGGGCCGCCCCAGAACGTCTCTCGAGCGGCCCCCAGACGACTCCAAGGGGGCCTCGCGAGGCTCCACGGTGTCCGCTTTGGACGCCCGAAAGGGGTGCGGAAAGAGTGGGTGTGATGCCCAGCAGCAAACGTTGCCCCAAACCAGCGGCGGCCGCAATTGGGCAGGCGGCCTTCTGTCTCAAATGGACAACGCCCGCAGCCCGCACTCCAGGCCCAGGCCGCCGACGTCTGGGCCGCCCCAGCCCGCGGACCGCCCCGGCGCTGGAATCCGCAGCGCGCTCCCCTCAGATCCTGGCGCTGCCTCTTTCTCGCAACTGGGGATTCTGCCTTGCTTCGGGCCCGGGGGCCCTCACAAAAATCGAGCCGCCTCGAAAAAATCAAGCAGTTAAAGATGGGGTCCAGGGCTCTGGTGGTGATCTTCTCCGATGTTGCCAATTTTTTCTTGGCGGCGTCAGGTCTGAGGGCCGTGCGGGGCTGCCGAGCCGTGGGCGGCCCCCGGCGGGCCCCAGAGCCTGCATGGGGACCCGCGGGGGCCCGGGCTTTTGAAGCCGCCGGCAGTCGCCATGCCCGCCGGGGACCTGGGTCGCGGGCTCGGGATCCGAGCACGATGGGGCCCAGGTGCGGGGCGTGCCCGATCGGGCTCTGGCACGTCTGGGTCGAGCGTTGGGCCCGCGAAACCCGCTGGGGCAGGTCTAGAATTCATCATTATAAAATGAAGCTACTACTAATATCAGAAGTAAAGTTGTTGTTGATTGTGGTTGCAGTTGTGGTTGTTGTGGTTGTGGTTGTTGTTGTTGCTGTTGTTGTAGTACTGTTTTATCATTGTTACTCCTCTGACCACTAGTATTGTTGCTCTTCTTATGTTTGATGTGAGTCTCATTTACCACAGGAAGCATTTCAGGCCCCCCCCTCCTGGTGAAACGACAACGCTTCCGGCACCCTGGAAGCGATACCTCGGCACCAGGAGGCGCCCCCTGGATTCCAGTGGGATCCGAATCAGCTCCTAATGCGATGGCAATAAGACCCCCATTCGTAGTCGTCGTCGTCGTCGCCGCCGCCGCCGCCGCCGCCGCCGTCGTCTTCGTCGGTGTCGGCGTCGTGGAATCCTATTGGAGATCTGACTGTGTTCGAATCTTGTTGGAATCCTATAGGAGTCATACCGTATTGGAGTCCGATTGGCATCCTAGTGGAATCCTGATGAAATCCCCACTGTACTGGAATCCTATTCAAATAGGATTCCAATAAGACCCCAACATAATACAATACAGTAGGATCCCAGTGGGATTTCAAAAGGGTTCTAACTGGATCCAACTGGGATTCCAATACAATGCAATGCATTCGGATTCCGATCGGACTCCAATAGTATTCCAATCGGATTTCAATCGGAGTCCAATGCGATTCCAATAAATTCCACCAGGATTCCAATCGGATTTCAATAGGACTCCGATACAATACAACAAGATCCCGATACGACTTCAATAATTTTCCTATAGGTTTCGAACAGGATTCCTTCCGGATTCTAGCCAATACAATAGGATTTCAATCGGAGTCCCACGCAAGAGGATTCCTTTAGGATCCAATTGGGCTCCAGTACGACACTATTCCAATACAATTTACATAGGATCCCACTATGATTTGAATACAATGGGATTCCGACAGGATCCCTATGATATTCCAATCGTATTCAAATACGATATGATTCCAAAACAATTTCAATCTATGATTCCAATCGGATCCTGATGATATTCCAATAGGATTCCAATACAGTATGACCCCAAAAGGGTCCCAATATAGAATGCCAATCGGATTCCAATACAATAGGATCCCAATACGTAGGATTCCAATAAGAACGCAATACTATTCCAATAGGATTCCAATTCAACAGGATTCCAATGGGACCAAACTGGATCTCAACAGGGTTCCAATAGCGTTCCACTGCAATCGGACCCAGTAGTGTGCCAATCGGGTTCTTATTCGCATTGTTGTTATTCGTGGTCTTTTCGGATTATGATTCCTATTGTTATCTTTTTTGGCAATACTATTCGAGGGGGGTGGGGGTGGTATTAGTTACTTTCCGTGCGCGCGCGGTGCTAAGATATGGCTACGTGCGGGGTGGAAAAGATATCCTTGGATGGACCTCCCTGTGCGACGGCCGGGACATCTAAACCTTTGCATAGGGGCAACAATTTAGAATTGAACGGCAATTTTCCAAGTATATGTATATATTATATGATTTCAACAGGATGCCGATCTGATCCCAATATGGTACCATCATAATAGGATTCTAATCGGAGTTCCACCTGGCCGAAGCTGTCCTTGGTCCGGGCCGGAGGCCTCGAAGAGAGGGTTTTCAGAAAGCCGCAAATCCTGCGCCCCCCCGGGACCATACGGTCAGGAACTTTTGCTCAGCGTGTTGCGGCGACAAGCCTGGCGACGCGCTGTGTCTTGCAAGTTGCAAGCCGATGGCGTGCCACTCCGCTTCGCGGGGCGGGAGGCTGGGGAACGGTCGAGACGTTGATGCTTCTGTTTGCTTCTGGACTTGGACGTGGCTCGCGTGTCGCGCCGAAGCCTGGTGGACCAGAACTGACGGCGTGACACGCTAAGCAACAGTTCCCG